TAGTCTCACCGGCNCCAACGGCCTCCTCCCGCTCGCNCCGGGCCTCCGCCAGCTCCGACGTCAGCCGCTGCACCTCCTGCGTCAGGGTCGCAACCGCCTCCTCCTGCTCCCGCGCAGCGTCACGCCGCATAGTCTCACCGGCACCAACGGCCTCCTCCCGCTCGCGCCGGGCCTCCGCCAGCTCCGACGTCAGCCGCTGCACCTCCTGCGTCAGGGTCGCAACCGCCTCCTCCTGCTCCCGCGCAGCGTCACGCCACATAGTCTCACCGGCACCAACGGCCTCCTCCCGCTCGCGCCGGGCCTCCGCCAGCTCCGACGTCAGCCGCTGCACCTCATGTCTTAGTGCGCTTACTCTGTCTTCGTGGGCTTCTTCCCGAAGCGCCATTGTTTTTTGAAGCTGTTTGAGCTCGGACACTGCAGCTAGTGCAATGCTATTTATAACCTCTGTTGGCGCCTCCAGAGATATGATAGATTCAGCCGAAACGGAACGTAGTGTGTGAAGCTCTTGCTGCAGTTCTTTAATCAATCTCTTGTCTTCCTGAATGGTTTCTATCAAGTGATCCTTCCCTTGCTCCACTTCTTGCTGATGTGTTCCTTCCAGACCGTTTTCGGTTCTTTTTTGAGTTGTAAGACCTTCTTTTAGCTCCTGCTGGGAAAGCGGGAAGGATGGGTTTATTGCTTCGCTGTGTTCTATCTGCGATTCCACTTTAGCCGATGGCCGGTTTTCTTTCTGAATTGACTGTAGCTGCCCTTCAAGTTCTTGGATACGGTCCATGTCCTGCTGCATTTTTGCCTTGACGCGTTCCTTCCACACGGAGAGCTTTTCCCGTACGGCGGCTTCTAAGACATCAGGTGGAACTGCTGCTGGCGTGTCCGCAGAGAAGGACGGCGTGACGGTGGCATTGCCTTGCTGCTGTGCTAGACGCGTCTGCAGCTCGGCAATTATCTCCTGGTCGCGACGGGAGGCCATCATAACCTTCTCTTGCCAGACATGCACTTTTTCTTGTAACGCGGTAAGCTCGGCCGTCTTGTCATCTAACTGCGTCTGGAGCTTCCTGAGGAGCTCCTCGTTGCGGCTTATTTCCGTAGCGTATGCCATGCGCTCCTCCTCCATGGCCTGTTGCAGCGCCAACTCACCGCTGTGCTCGGGTGGCAGCGGTGGGAGTGAGCCTGTGGAGCTCTGGCTTGGGCTTAGACCTGTGGCTGCAACCTCTGGAGCTGGTCGACCGGTGAGCTGCACGACCAGCTCCTCAAGGGCCTTGATGCGCATATTCTTCTCACGAATACCTTGTGCCTGCCTCTTTGCAACTTGGATAACTTCTTCGCGCGGCATGGCACCCAAGTCTACGACGCGGGTGCGCCGAATTGGAGGCGCTTGGTCCATTGAAGTATGAGAAAACTAATAAGTTGCCGTAAATTATATACGCGCGTAGTTTTGTGTGTGTGTGTGTGTGCTTGTCGCAGCTCTTTGGAGGTTTTGTTGCTCCTTCAGCTATTGATGCTTCCCTTCTGTGTGGAGAATTGAGAGACGCAAAGAGAAGAGTTGTGTGCGGTTCATTGCGTTCGGAGAAGTATGGGCATGTATATATATACATGTATATATATATATATATATATGTGTGTGTGTGTGTGTTGCATGACCACAGGCGTAAGCAGCCACCTGTTTAAAGAAACGATGCTCCTCTCTCTCCTCTTTTTGCTTGGGGAAGGGAGGAGCATTATACACGCCGCCGCTCTCCCTCCCCTTCTGGTTTCGCACGTTCCCTCTTATCCGCCTCCTTCCGATGTTGTTCCATTTGACTGCCTCCGCACCTACCGTCGACGCCAGCCGCAGCTCCGACTGCTCACGGCAGCAGCGGGGAGATGACACCGACGACTACCACCCGCAGCGAGCCGCCGCCCGCGCTACTGCCGCCGCGTGGCGGCAGCGACCTCGGCGACGGAGGCGGCGGCGCACGCCTGGGCCCCGCCGGGAGCAGCTGCACGGAGAAGCCCACCCGCTCCGACTGCAGCCGGAGGTCAAGTTGGGCGAAGGCAGTGCGCGCCGGGCGGCGTAGTTTCCCCGGCGAAGGGGACGCGGCTGACGCCGTTGCCGGCCCCGCCGCACGATGTTTGTCCTCGCGAGGCCCGCCTTTAGCTCCGGTGGTCCGCCCTGCGCCGGGGTCGGCGGCAAGCCGCATCGCCGCCACCGTGAAGACGCGTGCCACCGGGTCAAGCCTCCCCTTGACGTGCGCGCGAAGCAGGACAACGAGGTCCCCGACGTCGCCCCCCGCGTGGGCCTCTGCCTGCTCCACCTCCTGCAGGGAAACGTGCACGCCTGTCACCTGCAGTGTGCTACTACCGACAGGGTACGGCAGTGGCACTACGGCGGCGGATGACGATGTCGAGACGGCGCCGTCTCTTGTGGCACGCGGGCGCTTCTTGCTGTTATGCACTGCGTCTTCTTCCCCTCCCTTCACATCCTGCAACCGGGCAAGCACATCACGCACAGAGTCCACCGACAGTTCTGCGAACGTCTGGCGCACCATTTTTGCAACTTGTTTCCTCACAGCTGACTCTGCACGCCTTCCACACTCCGCTTTTTTGCGCTGTCGTCCGTGTGGACCACTTTACACCTTCAAAGAAGCATCACCACGGCGAGAAAAGAAGTTAAATACACATAAAGGCGGACCAAACAGCGTGACAGAGGGAGATATATATAGTGAGAACGAGAGCGTGTGCCTAGGAACATGCGTGCAATGAATCTGATGAATACACACAGCGCTGCCAATTCATTCATCATGTTAATCAGCTTTTTCTTTCTTTTGCTCTCTCCTTTTTCATGTCCGGCTCATTACTTACACTCATGCTTCTTCCTTCGTGCGCCGTCTCCTGTTCGCTTCCGCTCCGCGTGCTAACCACTACGCAGCAGTGGCTTCGCTGGAGGCAGATGTCATGTCCTGCGGCGCTCTGTCAGAGTGTGTATGTGTGTGTGTGTCACTCTCTTCATCCTGCCGTCACCCCCTCCGCCTCTTTGTGCGTGTCGCCGCACTATCTTCTGCAGCGGCATTCGCCAAACTTATCCTCGTCGCCGCCGCTGGCCGCGAGCTAGTCCGCCTCGACCTCAAAGTATCCCGTCAGGTGCACCACCGGCTCCGGTGGCGCGGGGGCGTCGTGGGCGGGACCGTCCTTCTTCTGCTTGCCGCCTCGCTTCTCTCGCGGCCCGCGGCCGCTCTCCGGGGGCTTCTCCCCCGCCGCCACTAGAGTGAAGGAAACCTTCGTTGAGAAGACAAGCTGCAGCGGGACGTAGTAGATGCCGTGCTTCGGCGACAGAGTGCAGAGGGCAAAGCGTTGGGGCTGCTCGTGGCTCTGCACGTACAGCGTGACGGGGCCTGTGGTTGTGGTGGTCAGGGCGCAGTGGGAGAGCACCAGCGAGCTCTCCGCAGGCATCGGCGGGGTCACGGGCACGCCATCAGGCCGCAGAGCCAGACCAAAGAAACAGTGAAGCGTCACCTCTTCCCCCATGCTTTTTGCTGCTCTGCGGGGCGGGATAAAACGAATGGAGAAGCAAATGGGGGGAAGGAAAAAAAAAAAAGAATAATAAATAAAAATGCGCCAATAGAAAGTTTGAGCAACACGGAGGTGAGTCCACAGGCACTGGAGCAGGGCAGGCGTGTTGCTGCGGTAGAGACGACAGATGTAGGTGTGTATGCGCAACGCAGCTAAGAGCGAGTTTAAGGGATGGAAGAAGAGGAAGAAGAGGAAGCAGTAACGAAGGAAACGACACACAGAGACACAAAGAGAGACCGAGGCATGTATTACACCTGTGAAATTTGGCAGCCTGGCTACACGCCACCAGAACCCGCCGCCTCCTCCTTTTTGTTTGTTTGTGAGGCGGAAAAAGTACGAGCTGAGAAAAATTACACCCGTACGAGGAGAGAAGTAAAAAAAAAAGGTATATATGGAGAAAGGTCAGACCACTTCGTGGCGCCTCTCACATGTCCCCTTTTCTCTCTGTCCGTGCGTGCGTGCGTGCGTGCGTGCGTGCGTGTGTTCCCCTTTCCAACCTTCTCGTCGCTTTTGTCGGTGTTTTGTTTTTGTTTTTGGGGTTTGTGTGTTTGGTTTTTTTCTCCACTTCTCGTCGGTTATTTAGACTTTTGTTGTTGTTTTTGTTTCCCTCTTCACCCCCCACCAGCCCGTGATTTTACTTTTGGCGCTGACTGCTGGTACTTCGGCGTCGGGGCGCGCCTGCCGGTTCCAGCCGCACCCACCGCCCTCCCGGTTTTGTTTTGTTTTTTCTTTTGTGTTTTTTCGCTTTCTGCTGCCGTTGGGCCCTCGCAGCAGCCCGCAGTTGCCCGCGGAGGGAGGGGCGGCGAAGGCCGGTGGAGCATCGGCGGAGTACACCAACGGCGGCAACGCCCACCGAGGGAGACTGCACACAAACACACACACGCACACGTCTACATGCACAGGCACATGCACATACATGTGTGTGTGTGTGTGTGCGTGGAGAACGTTACGGAAGGGCACAGCGTGAGTGATGAAGGAGGTGGGGAAGGGGAAGGGGGCGGGAAGCAAAAACAAACAAAGACAAACAGAGAAAAAAAACGGAAGGGCGAGAGAGAGAGAGAGAGAGAGAGAGAGCAATGCTGCCCGCAGAAAACTCCGCCGAGGCAGCCCTCCCCCCCCCCCCTCCCTCTGAGCGCCCATTGCATTGGCACGTGTCCAACGTCGTGTACTGTCCAATTCGGCAAGAAGACAAAAAAAAAAAAGAGAAGCACACATACAAG